TCGAGAGCATAGGACGATATGTGAATGCATTTTGCGATCGCCTGCTGCGCTCAGATCAAATCACAACAAATCATTCAGGAGACCCACCTTCAGTAATGATGGCCGCATCGCATATAAATTGGATTTTACTGTTGTTTGTTTATCCATTAATGTTTGATTAAAATTTTGTATATTTAATTTAATTTTAGCAAGATCGTAAATTTTGTCTAATCAGTAGACAAAATTTACGATCTCATCAGATTCTCATTCTCAGAGATAACATCAGCGCGATTTTTGACATGTCAATTTCTATTCAATGTTCATTATTATTCGTTGTTATTTTAATACATACAGTGCAGTAGGGAATTCTTCATCGCAAAGGTGATCACTTTAAGTTAAGACTGATCTCTTAGTCCAAAACATTAATTGAAAGAAAAACCTACAAAGTAGAATATAACATTTACAATCTGTAAACTGCGCTTAAAACCCATGGTAGAAATTTACCAAGAATTTCTAACTATCAAACAGACGATTCTAAAGACAATTTATGATTCATCCTCAATAGTAGAAAACATCGCGATTCACACGGAGATCCATTCACATTAACATAATAATACAGGTATAATTTGTTGTATGAAGAGATTTTGACAAAATAAAATGTATACAATAAATCTGTCAGGTAGAAAGTTTGGCCGACGATAATGTTTCACAATTTCTGTATAAAACGGTGCTTCGCTACTATAGATTGACTGTTAATAGTAATCCGCTTATGACCATTCAGTAGCTGTATTGGTATTTTTGGGTTTTAATAGGTTGAGATGTTCGCACGTGACCTCTTTGTGGTTGGCCATTAAAGTCGGAAAAAATGTTTTAGTATTTTTCTTTTCTACGTTGTATTTATAACTCTCAAATACTTTTTGATACACAACCAAAGACATACTTAAAAATACAACAAAATTTATATGAACCTTCTAAATATTAAAGTCTTAGCTGTTGTGGAACATGATTTGAATTCACATCAAAAAGTAAATACAAAACAGCTTTAATAGTAAAGAACGTAATCTAAATTCTGATACTAAAACACTACTAAAAAAGGATGAGCACTTCATTCCAATGTTTAGGCAACAAAAGATGAAAAGGCGCTATAAAATTACAGCACTTTCCCCCTTTGTATGTGGCAATTAGGCTAATGAAGCGCTCCCACTGGTGCGAATGAATAGTCCTCCTCGCGTTCCTGGCATTCAAACCTCACCTTTCATGTGGCCAATTTACTGATGGTACACATTATATGGTTTTACTTGAAAGTAATTGAATCTAAGTATATGATAAATCTTGGTCCATATTTGAGACTAGATTTTTAAATATATAATAAGTGTAACTAAACCCATTAGTTTGCGTTATTCAATATGGTTTGATCTGTTATTCTTCGCCTAACTTAAATAAACCAACAAAAGAGGCAGGGGAATACTAGCCTAGGAATGAATAACAACATAGGAGAGTATATTTTACGTGTTTTAATTATAATTTTCATTACGGGATGAACTGTTTAAAAAAAGTTATGGCATAATATAATACTAGACTTTATCCACAAACATATTAGTGTTTATTTTCATATCCTTTTTGTGAAACTAGTAATGAAATAAAAAAGAAGAAGAAGAAGAAATAGAAAATATTGTGTACGAGACACACTAAGGGTTGTCAATCAGTTAATAGAAAGATCAGAAATTTCACCAAACAGATTGATCATCACCAATTAATAACAATCAATCCACATGACGCGGTAAACAAAAACAATTTCCAAACGCCAAGATGGTGGATTTATTTGGCGTGAAAGCGTTTTCAAAGAAGGCATACAAAACCAAAATAGTATTACCCCAAGGCTATTTATCAAATCGTACGATAAACAGAAATGGGAAATTGAAACAGAGTCAACGGGGACCAACGAAATGATTTATTGGCATTATAAACAAAATATGGACTGATCATTTTCCATTCGGAGATTGAATTTGGACCGCCAAGGGAGCATGGTGTGTTATTAAACGTGTTTAATGTCGTGTTTAATGGTTTGTGCCTTTGAGTAATTCGTTTTACTGTAAGTTCTCCGTTTAGATGTAACTCCAAATTTGGGTGATGCCTTCATACACGGCTGCGTGTTTGACGGAGAAGAATTGAAAATATATTTTGAAGTTATAAACGTTAAGTAATGTTAAAATATGTCCAATATAGTCATTGTTAATCGAAGGCATACAAATATTTGAGGCATTAAAGGTTACTTAATACATAATATGAAACTTTCACACTATCGTATAATTTATAACACATACAAAATCTTTTTCCATCGAGCCTTTTTCTAAACTTGGGCGGCTTTAAGTGTATTACGATACGGATGAACTTCGTTTTTTTACACGGAGCGACTGCCATCAGACCTACATAACCCAAATACTAGGCGATACCGAAAATAATACCAAAAAAGTATAAAACACGCCAACAAGTATTCCTAGTAGAGAAATAATTTCAACAAAAGATTAGGAAATCTGCATAAGTATAATAACAACATTGCAACGGAATTGAAGACACCAGCCAACACTGAATCTTCTAAATAATGAACGCGACCTGAGAATTTCTAAGAATACTCGTGCTTGCGATGGTGTTAAACATTTCTTTAAGGTATTAAAGCTGTCTAGTTCACGGCACGTTAAAATAGAAAGTACTTGTGTTATTAAAGAACAATTTTAGCATTGTCGTATCAGCCACAGTTGGACACAGGCCTCTCCTTGGAAAGGAGGTTTTGGCCTACTATACAACGCTGGACAGACGGGTTGGTAGAGGATTTATTTCAAGTTTTCCTTCTGTTTGCGGTGCTGTTGTTCTGCGTAGTTTGTTCCCTTAGTCGGCTCTTACCACACCCACGGGATGAATTGCGGTGGTACCACTTTGTATTCTTAATCCGTCACCCCACGGTTTCATTTGCATAACTTTAAAGAAAAACTACTGTAAAAATTAGACTGCAAAATATAGTTTAAAATTTTAAGGCGTTCTCGCTTGTAAGTAAAACGAATATAGTCTCATATGAAGAATGCCACCGAAAAAGGTTGTTCCATAGTACCATTATTTTAAAGGACTACCTTTTGCCCTATTAAATCATATCACAGTTAGTCCAGAGCTCACGGGAAATGAATGCCCGGCACTTGGTACGCATTAAACTTATGCCCATATCACGTCGACAGTTCATGATCAATGTGTTGTAGGTTGTACTAAATCATCGTTCTATGGACATACTTGTAGATACATGGGATCTGCAAATTTCTTATGCAGAAATGCTGCTAGCGCAATTATGGTTATGTTTTCTTTGATGCCCGTTTTATCTTTAATTTCTTCATCTTTATTTAAAAACATTTTACTTTTAATCGGTTTTTAGAATTTTCCTTGAGTTTATGTGACTATAAGTACCGATTCAATGCATACTTTTTATCTGGTAAAAAGAAAGCTCAGATGTAAAAAATATGTGATTAAGTCTTACGTAATCCAGCCATTATGCCAGGTTTGGGCTTTTCGTTTGTATTCATTACACAAACAAAAAAAGACTACTTCACCCATTTAAGGGACTACTTACTATCTCCATTACCCATTACAGAGACTAAAAGAAACAGAACAATACTAGATTACCCAATTAAGTCTAAGACGTTATCATATAAAATTTTACCTCAACATTTTAGTGAGAATACCATAAAAATTTACTCCCTCGTCTAAATTTAGACGATATGATATGGGCCAGATGGTCACGCCACCCGATTTTAGTATCTCTCCAATCTTTTTTACGTGACCACCGAATATTGACCTTCGCCTCACCTTATTTATACCTCTACGCACATCAGAGTTCTAAAATCGCGGGGGGTAAAGAAGGCCTTACCTATCTGGAAGGTCATAGTTACAGCCGATAGCCTGTTATGAAGCGACCAGTAAGATTTCACAGTTATGAGCGGGAACAGAAAGGAAGTATATATTTAGTATGGCATCTGTTTCTTGGGCATTTCATAGAAACGGTATTAATTAACATGTCCTATGGGTGGATACTTTCATAATTTGTAATTCCCTTGACATGGCATCGTAAACTTTTAGCCGAAAATGTTCGAATTTCACGCTTGTCACATCTATTCGTGGCCTCGCTGTTATGTGATGAGATATAACATCGATTAACTTTAGAAAAATATGTTTAGATGTTTTAGCCTTATGAAAAATGACGAGATTAATAGTAACAAAACGTAGTGAGTTATGCAATAAAATATTATGCAGTTATGTTTAACAAAAGCTATAATTTGTAGTTTTAATAAGATACATCAGTGAAAATAGTAATAAACTGCTGTTATATATTAAGTTCATAATACATTAAGAAATGTTATTTATTTCTTGTTAATACACTTAAAACGTAACGGCTTATTTTTTGAATTTGGAATTGGGCGAAGTGTCTATAAAATTAATTCTTATACGGCTTCTCGCCAGGGGAGCTCTCTTTTACCGAGGATTCTTATCCATGGTATAGCCATATAGAAGGTTTGAAAATAGTGTTTTAGAGATTTGATCATTGACGGGCTTGTTGGTCTAGTGGTTAGTGACTTTGACTGCTAAGCCGGAGGTCGTAGGTTCGATACCCACCCAGGTCAAATAATTGTGTGATGAGCACGATCTTTTTTTCTGTGTCTGGGTGTATTTTATCTATATAAGTATGTTTATCAGCAGTCTGGTTACCATAGTACAGGCTCTGCCTAGTTTGGGATCAGACGGCTGTGTGTGAGATGTTTGAAATTATTATAAATAGCTTTTATTATACAAAAACATGTATCACATGCATGATTTTTGTTTACATTTATTATATGTATTGTCAAAAATATTGTAAAATCAATAATTAGTCTCAGCTTTATGACTACTTTATAACGGTTTGTTTCCTTTCAGAAAAATATAGTATTAAAAAATATAAAATTATGAAACGTCAATATAACTTGAACATAAAAAAATAAACTTACCACCATGAACTCCACAATAGTCCCCAACGCAGTCAGCGTGCTGAGTATGCGCGCCTGAACACGGCGTATCACCGGTACAAGATCTCCGCCTCGTCTGTCTGCAGTCAGCCCCACAGACTGACCACTCAGACCAAGTGCCCCAACGACCCGGGAGAGCTGCAGAATAATAATAACATCAGATACAAGGAAAAAAATATAAGATTACCTATATACCTATAGAGTCTGGTAAGCTTTTATTTAAAAGATGCAAATAAAAACATAGAATAAATGGCGTGTAAGATTACCATATACTGGAATAAAATATATTGTACCTTCTAGACGTACTCTAAGCGAAACTTAAATTCTATTATGCATGCATGCATAAAATGATCCAATTGGGAACATTTCATGCATGCATTTATGATACGATGATGGGATGATGATATTTAACAGTTTGGGAATTCCCAAACTGTTAAATAACTAAAACCTTTGAAATGTTTTTTTTTTTTTTATATAAAATCACTCCAGGAAAACTTACAATGAGAAGAAATCCCCTTTTAATCACAATTACGTAAATAAGTGTTAGCTTAATTAGAACACATACGATTTCACATACTTTGTTGTATAAACTAAATTTTGTGGATTGAACAGTTTTTGCACAACATGGCTTCTTCTTCTATTTTGTGGTATTACAATTTTGGCGTCTTAAATATATCTAAAAATCCAGATGGCAGAACATTTCCTGAAACCAAAGACTTGACAAAAAAGAAGTGCAAATTCATACAGTTTCAAATGACAGACAATATTTTTTGCCTCGAAGATGTCATCGTCCATCATTAATTTTGGCTTGACATGTGTTTTACAGACACCTAAAGAATTTGTTTAAATATAAATACAGTTGATTTAATTCATAAGTGAATAAGCATATTTTGTTTCGTAACCGAAACATACGAATAACGCATTTTGTACAACAAACAAAGGAATGTATTTTTTTAAATGGAGGAAAAAGCCATTGATATCACGACACTGTTACCGTTACCGACACCTCTGTATATAAGTATCTACATATATTGGCCCCGTTTATACGAGAGTTGAGTTTGGGTTGAAATACATTGATAATATAACTATATAAAATACAAATACATATCGTGTATACGTACAACGGTTACGAATGTACCAACGTGGTTATAATGCGAATGTACCAACACTTTTATCGATGTTATTTCAAGAGAGACTGTAAAGGACAATTATTTTAGTGCTTAACTTAATGGGACGAGCCTCTTGAACTGAATTCGGGGCAGTTTAAATATCCAATATTGGATATTGTCGATATTATCTTATGTAAGAAGAAGCAAAGGACATTATATTAAGAAAACAAACAAGTTTTTATCAGAAAATGAAACGATAAAACCATTCAATTTAAAAGCTTCCGCACCTTGCTTTCATGTTAAAGATTATTCTCAGTTCCTGTAATGCAATCACGGAAATGTTTATTATGCAGAATATATAATATCCAAATTGGATTTTTGTAAAATTGAGTCAGAAACTAAATGACAAAATGCTTAACAGTGTACAATTGTAAAATATTTGGTAAAGTCCAAAAGGAAGATTATTTTTCTTATGAAGGTGTGGTTTTAAATGTTGTACGAGTAGTTATAAATTGAGTAAGATCCTAAGATCTTGGGTTAAAATTTTGGTGTTAGTAAATTGATGCATTCTAGAATCTGATAAAGTACATCAAACGGTAATATTGCTGTTGTTTTTTTTTAATTTATATCGATGCAATAAAGCTGAAGTCTTTTTCATTTGTTCGTTTCTTTAAACTCGCTAATCTCAAGAACTATCAGTCAAATTTGATATTTTTGTAATAAATAGAGTATTTGTTGAGCAATAATATAAAATATTATACTCGAGTCCTTAGAATCGGAGCAGTGACCCATAAATCCAAGAGAAACTTCTGAGTATGGCTTGTTATATCTTAAACAAAATTAATTATCAGAATTCTAATAACTGGTGTAATAAGCCATCATGGTCAGAGTCATTACGGGTATATCTTTGGAATTTTGTATCAATGGCCGACCTTTATTAGGTTTGCTTAATGTTTGGTATTGTCAATAGATCAATTTCTTTTGCCAATTTGTCTACAACTTCTTAGTTGATGTATTGCCAATAGTTATATTATCAATTATTATATCGTTTACAATTATTCATCCCACAATTAATAATAAGGACAGATACATGTATAGTCCTATAAATTGAAATTAAAATACACCGCCTCGTAGTTTCATCCTTACATGCGAATGGAGCATAAATCACGATGTTTTTTACAAAAGAAATAATAGAGCGTTTATATTCCGACGGTGCTTGGTATAAGAATAAAGGCCAATTCCATTAAACCAAAAGGATACTTAATAAAAATCGATATTAGGACAGCCCTGGTTTGTATACTACTAATACATCCCTTACTAAGTTTCAAAAGGGTTTCGGTAATAATTAGTTAAGCTAGTATCGTGTGAATACACTTATTTTAAAAACATTCTAGAATGTTACGGGGAATTGTCAATTTTTCTCTTTTCGTATTTTAAATTGATAAAAGTAGTCACATTTATGCAGTTAGAAATCTAAATGATCAGACTCCAAAACTCCACAACAAAGTTTATACTAGGTTTTGAAAAGTGTAAATGAAATACAGTGGTTTATTGATGACAGCTTTGTAAATCCTTTTTTTTGTTAGTATAGACAGACGTTTAAAAAAAGAAGCATACTCATTATTTACCGGCAACTAAGAAATCCTAAGTATATTTATTAAGTATTTCTTATTATTCCATTTTCAAAAAAAAACAAACCGCCACATGTTTGAATTTATACCAAGCCCTGTTTTTTTAATGTGTGGGTGTACACGAATATTAACTACAACAGTGTGTAACATTTCTTATTAATTAATGCGCACACACATAAATCAGTCGCGGTTCGTTAGAGTAACAACGACATAAAGGACTTTCACGTTTACATAATCTTCTTTTTTCTTCTTTATTTAGTATAAGGGCTTAGTCTGATTAGGATGTGGGTTAATTTTAGGAGGGAATTAATTATGGTGTGTATTGATAATGAGTGTTGTAGGTTATAAATTCCTATTACGTGATTGTGTAACAGCAGTTTTTTATGTGATCATTAATAAAAGTTGGGTTTTTTTATAAATAACCACACTTCTGTATGTTTTCACCCGACTGCACCGGAAAGAGGGTTATGTTTTTTGAGTATATTTATTTATATATCTTTGGCACGCTCTGGCCTAAACGACTTGCTGGATTTTGGCGTTTAAGGTTTCGTTGGATTCATCTAAATTGTTAGAGTGACACTTAGTATGTGTAAATTAAATTAACCGTTTTGTAAATTTGAAGTCTACATTTTAACACAGTCAAGCTATTTTTCTCTTTGTTTCTTTTGTTTTAATAATTAACTTGTTTCGATTTCGGGGTCGTGTGTCGAAATCGAGCCGACTTTAGCCACATGGTGTTTCTAACACACACAAATGGGTCTAATCAAGAGACTTGAATATAACATATAGCAAGAATGTCCGAGAGAATCTCAGCAGATTCAGGCCTACTTTAGGTGAGTCTTTGACTAGTGGGACCCTAGGTTCGTGGAGGTCGAAGATCATGCTGTACATACTATCAGCAAAGTACTATCCCTCTTCTGCTCATTAGCGGAATTCACTTCCCCGTAATTTAAAGCGATGGAATCAATTTTTTTGTATGATGAATTGGAATAAAAATCATGTGTTTTATGTGTGCGAAATTCTGTTTCTCTAACAAACGTTCGACAACGACAACGTTAGTAGCAAATTCAAGAGACACTTAAATCAAATCTGTGAACATCCCTATGAACTGATTATTTGAAAGTTATTAGGATTCCTTTGCTTAATATTTTTACTACAAAAAAAAACGTAGCATTTAAACGCAACCTCTTTGTAAAGCATATAAATAAAATGTAAGTAATTGCGTCCCACGACACGTTGTGACAACCCAACTGAATATTTAAGAAACGCTCTGCGGTAAGAAATACTCCAGATATTTTTAAAGATATGTTGCGTGAATTGTTTTGGTAGCTTTGTACCAAAATTGTAAGATACGTGCGTGTAAAGGAAATTAATGCATTTCGGTTGGGTGATTGCGATAAGGGTACCACTGAATATTTAATTTACATTATTTACGCTGCTTACGTGATAAAGAATGTGATAAATATTTACCATTAGTTATAAATTATTTTGAAACTGACGTTCACAGGGATGTTGAAATTATATTTTATAGGCTCATTGTAAACTCAAGCTAAATTTGAAGAAATAAAGTGACATTTAGAAGTTTTCGATAAAACACTGGCATCTCATTTGATTACGTAACATTTACTTTATTAACTAATAAAAGAAAAGATTGATCTGTTGGCCCAGTGGTAAGGGTCACTTGTAGTCAAAACCAACAGGGTCGTCAAAAAGAGTATTTATTACAGCTTTTCGAAAAATAAATATGATTTTAGATTTTGTAACATCACTATTAATCAGTTAGCAAATTGTAACATTTAAGATACTGGCTTTGCACAAAAAACAATGCAAGTCTTTTTTTTTATTGTACCATACAATTCTAAATTCAAAATTTTGACACATACAGTTATATAATTCCTCCTGCATACACATGTAGCCAATTAGCTTGAAGTGTAATAGTTCACGGTCTGAGACAGCTTCTTGATTGAGTTTTATTGTCTACGCCGGTTGGTCTATTCCCTTTGATAGCTTGAGATGTAAATTATAATTAATAACTTTTGTTACAGTATGGGTTAATTACATCATCAGTAAAACGGAATGTCGTAGTTTACTATTAGCAGTATATTTGTACTGAAACAAACTTACCACTACATATATTTGTATGTACACTTTGCGTTTGTCTATGTGATCTAAGTTTAGATTACATTTAGACTGATAAAAGTATTTCTTACTCTATTAAAATATAAGTTTATTACTATTATTTTCAATTGCAAACAAAAACTTTTCTAACCAATATGAAACGTAACATGTTGCCTTAAAGCAGATGTAGCTAGGCAAAAAGCACACCATAATTACTGGTGAAAACGATGAACAGCAATTCAAAACAAACCTATTCCATCCACCCTATAATTGTTTTATTTATTTTTTAAATCGTTACATAATAATCAAACATATTGCTACCACTAAATTTATCTTAAAGACGTGACTTTATAATGTAGTATTAAAAATTTGAAGTCGAATAAGATGTAAAAATAATTGATCTCAAATCAAGCCTGTAAAGTTAAACAAAACAGTGATGAATCCAGTCCAAATAACAGTACAACAAAACCTACTTACATCCTTGATTCCAAGCACTTTACTCATAACAGTAACTATAATAACGCCAGCAACAACAGATGTGTTCGCTAAAATTCTACCCTTTGATCTAACACTGTCATCGGCCAACAATTCACTAACATCTAACAAGTTATGCGAACCCCAGAGCCGTATGTATTCAATATTCTCTCTTTGAAGTGCATATTACGTTCTATATAATCTGTGGTGCAGTACTTTATGAGTTTTATGACCATAGAGAATTAAATGGCATCGTTTTTACGACTGAGATGTACTGATATGATGGTTAAAAAGCTTTAAGTTCATTGTGATTTGGCCACGTGTTACATTTGGGTTCCGTAGTTTAAGTTGGATTTAATTGGTCCAGTGATTTAATCGTAAAATTTTTAGCATATTTTTTTTCTGTGAATTTCATGGAATATGCCACTGAATTTGTCATTATTAACTACATAATATTAAATACAATTAATACTAACTTTAAACTTTACCGTTTAATTACATAAAATTTTATATTAATTAGGGAATCAATAGTCAGCCTCAGACCACGGCCAGTCTAAAGTAGTCGAAACATAACACATTTCAATAATTATAATTACGTAACCACTTAATACAATATCTACATATAATTTATTTTAAATGTATGTATAAAAAACTAAATTGAATTTAATTGAATGCTGCAAACCGCCTTTCTAAGGAGAAGCCTATGTCCAGCAGTGGACTAGTAAAGTCTGTTGATGATATGATGTGAATACTGCAAATATATTCTACAGTGCGATATCAATAATTGGTTGATCCATCAGCGATAACAATGAGTCTGTAAGGTCCATCTACTTGAACACAACCTGTTGTAACATGCTTCCTATTTCTCACACTGATGCCCCGTACAGTACTGATATAAGGAACCCGACACGATGTGTGGCCGGTACGTTTTAATTTACTTTTTATTACGTTCAATGGTAGCGCGTGGCGTTCGGGTCTTTGTTTTTTGAGTACATCGATTGTATTTTAAAAGGTCAAGGGTTTAACTTGAAAATAAATAGGTACAGCTAATTGAAATGTTTTACAGATTGAAGGCAATGGTTATTGAGTAATGTATTATTATTAACCATGGAACGAAGACACACCAAACCGAATAGGAAGTATGTAGTACAAAAGTTATAAATATCAAATACTATGAGATGATAAGAAAGTAAAATTATACGTTTTTTTTTCTGTGCGGGAATTCCATCGGATACCACCCACCGGTGGTTATGTCGGAGCCGAACCGACCAAAAACCGCACGCCGTCTCGGGTACCAGTTGCCGGGGAACCAGGAAGGAAAATCCTGATACCCCGACGTACCTCGGGCCATCTACTTGCTTAAATGACCCCCTCCTGTGTGGGAACCCCTATGTCCCCTTTGTGCTGCCGAAAGGGGGGCGCGCGCTTATAAAATTATACTAACACTAAAAGAACTGTTTAGCTACAGTGATAAATTAAAACGTGTACATAAATAAGGAAGTAGTGTTGACTTGATATCAACAACAGCCTTTAATAGTCCACTGTTGGACATAGGCCTCTCCTTAGAAAGGAGGTTTTGGCCTACTATACCACGCTGGCCAGACGGGTTGGTATAGGGTTTTTTTTTAAGTTTCCTTCTCTTTGCAGTGCTGTTGTCCTGCGTAGTTTGCTCCCTTAGTCGGCTCTTACGACGCCCACGGGATGAATAGAGGTGGTGACACTCTGTATTCTTAATCCGTCACCACACGGACAATGAGTCCGTAAGTCGAAAGCTGAGTGGAAAAAAATTGTCGCTAGACGGCGCGCTTCTCGTGTTGCACCCCGCGTCCCCCCCTCACAGTCCCCGCTGGGTACGTGCGCCAACAAGTAGGTACCCAAAAATGGTGATGTTATACATACCTATTTATTATTTCTTAGATAAATTTGTTTTTTAGCATACCGTTGTATTAGTAATTTAAAAAGTAGCGTTTAAGTGCTAATGTTCTTATACATTGAACAAAAACTGCTAGAACAGTTTGCCGAATGGAGAAATTGTAAACACTTAATTCTGCATTGCGCAATTAAAGTTTTCGCGCCGATTAATATGTGTACAACTAATAGCTACCGTAGTCACTTCCTATTCGGTGACCCGTTTACTCGTTTGCCCCTCTAAATATTAAAAAAATATTCTATATCTCTACCTATTTATATAATCTATTCATTTTGTATTTATCATGAAAATATAACTCTTACATCACAGATATATTAAACCATGAGTTTAAACGTTTATTTAATATTAACCTTATGAGATATCATCAAGTAAAATAATTATATGGACTTCACGGATGGTGTGGTGGTTAAAGCGGTCGCCACGCCGCTTCCTACAACGCCGAGTGTTGTGGGTTCAACTCACTTGGACACTTTGTGTGATCCAAAATTTATTGTTCTAAGTTTGGGTGTTCTTTGTGTCCGTTTCATGTATGTTTGTAAAGTCCCCCGCGACACAGGAAATATTCCTAATGCGGGAGTTGTCTTTTTTAAATTAAAAAAATATATATAAATGTATATCACATTTTTTTGGACCTTTAATCTATTTTGGTTGACAACAACACTTACCAATCAACAACTGTTGCGTGTTATCATATCCTTGTAGATCCACGTATCCATCTTCAGTGTGAGCAGTAACAAGTAAAGTATAGTCAATTTTTCATGATATACAGACAAAACACAACTTTATAATAACTAGTTAAAGATCAAATTTCCGATCGAAACACGATTTTAAGTGACGTGCTCTCTAAAAATATTTCAACCACAATTAACTGTTTGAGCATCTGGGCTCTGTAAAGCACTTGTTTGTTCCATTCCGGTCTTGATATTTATATTAAATGAAACTTCGAATAAATAGAAATAGATATTTTGGAGTTACAGAATATCTGATAGAGTCATTTATACATTTTGGTGGCGTAATTTACGACTATTAAGTTACAGGCACGCGATATCCTTACCCACAAGATATTAGTTTATTGAAAAAAGAAAATTGGTCCTCTGAATAACCTAAAAATGCCAGAGATAACCAGGTAGATGTGTTTTTAAATTAGAATAACTAGTTACGTTACGATATTGATACCTGTTATTCGAATCGTTACTTGGATTCATAATATATTTTTTACATAACGAAGATATAATATTAATGTGCACTTATCTTCAACACCACATAACATAGATTTCCAAAAAACTGACAAAATTACACAGTATCACTACAGTAGTAATTTCTCATTGCATATAAATTTACAATGTACCGATAAATACCGTGATTATAAGATACATTAGGTACGTTTTTCAAAATTTACATATAAATATTTGATGATCGGATGGCGTTGTGGTTTGTGCAACGGACTGCTATTCCAAAACATAACATTTTGCAATCCATTATACTGTCAAAATTTATAACCATCTACACTTCTAAATCTATATTACAAAATTATTTTCCATCAAACTTAACATTTTTATTCATCTGTAATCGCAAGGTAACTTACCGCTCTGACATGGTACACAGTCTGAAGTTCTCTGCACAGCCTGCCCCTGGCATGGGGCACCACCGTTCAACGGGTGTGGTTCCGTACATGTGCGCGTGCGCCGCTGTCCACCTGTAATGCGACCGTTGCAGCGACATTGCGTCCAGGAACCCCAAGAACTCCAGCCACCATTGACTAGAAAAGAAAATTTAGATTAGTGAAAAGAATACAAAAAATTGGAGACATGAAAATCAAATATTATGAATTTACACGTTGATAAATATTTTTTACTGTATAACGCTAATTCTAGTTGGGAAAGTAATATATTACAGACGGGACAAAGGAAGAAGGTAAATTGAGGTTGTGGAGGAACGGGTTTTACATCCCTCCAAGGGGAGGATGCGATTTCCACCAGGCGAGGTGATTATGCCTGTCGGACAGCAGCCCAGCGATGTTATAAAGTACGCAACTTGTCTATGCATTAGCATAGCGTAATCCTGTATCGCGATATGAAAAGTTTTCATATCGCGATACAGGATTATCAGTTACTCCGTAGTTCGGTGTGTGTTCTTTAGATGGCACTGAAGTATGTTTTTGTTTTAAGAGTATTTTACTACAGTCAGATCCACTAGCCAAAGAAGTTCATAACTGCGAAAGTATTCGTTCTGTATTTAAAATAAGCGTTATTTTCAAATATCACACTCCAGGTCAAATTATATCAAAATTATTTACCGTCAGAAAACCGACTCAAAAATTTAATGACAAGTTCTTAAGAGAGAGACTCTATTATGATAATTATTTTCCAACTCTGTTGAACCAGTTAAAAGCAAAGTCATGTCTACAATAACATTTCTATAATATTACTTCTAATTAACTTATCTGCAAAATATTATTTCGCTAAGTACCTACTTATTTTGAATTTGAATTTCTAAAGGCAATTTAATTTATTATTGGATTGTTCATTGCATATAACTTTACAACAATTTAAAGCACATTACGCCTAGTTTACGAAGTACCTTCATTTATTACGAAGTCGGAAAAGTACATTAAATAAACGACTTCTACTTCATTTAAAAATATACTCCACGTTTACGATGTTCATTTGCATTATTTTTTAAATGTACTGCCTTTTAATTAAGATATAAAGTAAATTTATAGTTTTTTCATAGTTTTTCCATTTTGCAAGTAATGAGCGTTGGGTTTTTATTAATTCCAATGAATACAAATATACTGTAATTTCTCTAATGTCTTAAACTTTATGACGCAAATAAAAAAAATTACGATTTTTAGATTGTCTTATAAAAACCTTTGTTGACCTCGGCCTTTTTATCTTATATTGGTTTTATAGTAAATTTTGTTTTAAAATATCTATTTCATACAAATGAATAAAATTAAAGTGTCTGTATGTACTCGTAATGTCAAAATAATAGGTTTTTTTCAGGCTCACGCGGTTATTTGCAGGATATCAATCCCTGAAAACCAGTTTAAATATTATTTGTCTGTCTGTCTGTTTCTTCGGGTAATCTCCAAAACGGCTGCACCGATTTTGATAATAATTTACTATCAGGTAGCTGTGCATATAGCTGTCTATATAAGGAGTAGCTTAGGCTTTTTTTCCTGTCATAAAATCCCTATAAAATTTTGTCCGGTCCGACCCGAGGCCACATACACTGCAGTCGCGTACCGTACCCAGTAATTTATAAAATGAAATTTAAAATTACTACAATTTTGAGAATAAGAATCTAGTTACCATAATGTGGGCCCTGCCTAGTTTAGGATCAGACGAATTTTTTTTCTAATCAAAAAGTTCCGACCTGAATAATGATAATGAATGTTAAGGACATCGTAACGAAGTGTATTCAGACCATTTGTTTTTTTAATTCAGACCATTTCGACTCAGTCGCAAAATCATTGGAATTTTTTGACGGAAAAATCATTTTTTTAAGTGATATCACAATGAGTAAACAGAACTTTTCACAGATTTTTTTTTAAATAAATACCGCATACGGTCAGAAACTGCAATGTAACTAACCAAACAGCCGAAGCGTGTGGAGCCACCAACTTGTGTTAGTGTGCGTAGACTGTTTGCACGGAATACACATGTAGTTATTACTTTTTTGCGATACCTACGGGTAATGACCTTTACCTTTGACAGCTGATTGCATAAAAAGTTTAAAAGTCTAATGATTTTAGACCCAGAATGATGGTCTGAATACGATACGGTCGTTACGATGTCCCTTACAACGTGTAGGTATATCTATATTATACGTATATACACGTATGTTCGTTCCCGTACTCCTCCGAAACGGCTTGACCGATTCTCATGAAATTTTGTGTGCACATCGGGTAGGTCTGAGAATCGGCCAACATCTATTTTTCATACCCCTAAATGGTAAGGGGCACCCATCCCTAATTTTTTTTTGTTTTGCAATACAACGTTTGCCGGGTCAGCTAGTTTCATATATAGTTATATTATCAATACATTTCAACCCAAACTCAACTCTCGTGTAAACGGGGCCAATACATAAACGGGGCCAATACATGTAGATTCTTATATACAGAGGTGTCGGTAACAGTAACAATGTCGCGAGTTAATAGTTCTTTCCATCTCAAAAAATACATTTCTTTGTTTGTTGTTCAAAAATGCCCAACGCGCCTAAAGAAGTTTTCACTTCAGTAGTTCAACATCGAAAAAAATGTTTTGTGTTAAATGTGCATTTTTTTTAATCATTAAAACTACATGACGACCGGATGGCGTAGTGGTTTGTGTAACGGGCTGCTATTCCAAAGGTCGCGGGTTCGATTCCCGCTCAAGTCAAACATTTGTGTGCATGAACATTTAATGTTTGATTTGGTCTGAATGTTTCTATGTATAATATGTATGTATTTACAAAAAAAAAAAGTATATATGTATTTATATCAGTTGCCTAGTAGCCATAGTACAAGCTCTGCTTAGTTTGGGACTAGATGGCGTTGTGTGAATGAATGAATGTGAACATACGTTTCTGAATTTCAGAAATTTCCTAAACATAATTATATTGCAAAGTAAATATATGTTATTAAGTATTGCCGTGTTTTCAATATCCGTTACGTTACCAAACGTTATTATATCGTGGTTCTGTTGGCACGAGTTTTCAAACGAAGTTTCTATATATTCCGTGTACATTACTATTATGTCCTGTTTCATATGGTCGTGTTATTTCAATGTTACTTTAAGTAGGCAATGAAAACAATTCTTTGAAAAATAAATATCCTCACGACCGTATTGCGTGGGAATTACATCTGTGAATGCGAGAGTACCAATGCCAATGCTGAAATGCAAGAAAAAAAGTATTTACGTATTCTATCAGTCAATCTAGCTTTCATAGTACAAGCTCTGCTTAGTTTGAAACTAGATGGCGTTGTGTGTGATGTCGGAAATATTATTATTATTACTTCTGATGTCAATAATATTTATCCATCTGGTGATTAGTGATCCTGACTGCTTAGCCAGAGGTAATGGGTTCGTTTCTCACACAGGACAAACATCTCGTCAGCTTTATTAAATTTAGTACTAGCTTTTGCCTGCCGCTCCGCCCACGCGTATTTTGGTTATAGCAGTAAAAAGTATGTCCCTGCCTAAATCCTTCCTCAAGAATCAAACTATCTCCATAAAAAATTTCATTTAAATCGGTTCAGCGGTTTAATCATAAAGAGGTAACAGACAGACACACAACCTTCCACATTTATAATATTAGTATGGAAGTATGAATTTGAAAGACACATTTACAATAACGTGTGTATGTGAGTTTCTAATATAACATTACACAGTGCTGCTATAAAGCAGATGAACATATGTATATAAAACACTCACTACCAGTAACAACCCTTAACGCACTTGCAAAATCTGAATCAAAAACAAAGTCCGTTGTTAATCAAGATCTAAAAAGTGCAGGGTAACAGGCAGAACCAGGGTATGGTATATCTTTCGTGGATCTGTGTGCGAACACGCGAGGTGGCGTGTGCCTGCTAACCTAACGACCTAGCTAGAATTTACTTTAAGACTAATATTACACCGCATAATACCCTTGTTGGTACTTTTAGGTTTTACAATAACTGTAAGGCTAGACATTTTGTTTGCAAATTTCATTCAAATTCCTTTAAAGCTATAAACTGTTAAAGATAAATAGGAACCTATACAGCCATAATATATATTATAAAAATATATGTTAGATGATACAATGAAACATAATAATGAATCTATACAAATAAATAAAATTGAACTGTCTGTTTGTAATGCCAATATAATAGGTTTTTTTTATGCTCACACGTATATTTGCACGATACCTATGCCTAAAAACCAGTTGAAATATTTTTTGTCCGTCGGTCTGTCTGTTCCGGGTAATCTTCAAAACGGATGGACCGATTTAGATTATATTTTACTACCAGGTAGCAGTCTATATAAGGAGTAACCTAGGCTATTTTTTATCTCAAACCTTATAAAATTTTGCTCGGGCTGGGAATCGAAGCTAATAAGGCAACGCTTTTTAAATTCCACGTGAACGCAGTCGCAGGCACAAGCTAGTATAAAAATATATATTTATTAAAGATAATATACAGATTTATACACTTTCGCAGCAGGACTAACTCTTCGTCCATTCCAAAACTAATCGGGCATCCCTGAAATATATACATGCTATTAAAACCCATGTTTTAAAAAAATATCAATACCACTCATAAAATTTTCGTTCTAATATTCACTAGATATTAGAATACTTTATTTTCTGACAATACTAAGTGTTAAAATTAGTGCTAATTCTATTGTTCGAAAACTCTCTAAACTAAACTAAAAATCATTAAAAATAATTTTAGTCCTGTCTAAAAACGTTATTCTGGCAATGTAGTGCTTGACAGCACATAACAATTTTTAGCGATGTTTAGTTTAGTTTAGAGAGTTTTTGACAGATTTACCACAAGTGTGTATTTAAGGATCAAAAAATAAATTTATACATAAATTAGATCATAAGTTGCACATTATATCCACAAACAAATTAAAGACTAGAATGTTTTTTTTATAATCATTGTACTTAATCTTAATAGAATACAACTGTCGTTCAGTTCCCAACCTCACTAATAGATTAAAAATTTAACCAGCTAACAGCACATATGTATGCTATATTAAATAAATCACAGTCTCAACTATCGAAGTTTTCACA